AAATACCAATGACTTTCTTCACAAAATAGAAAAAATAATTCTACAATTTATATGGAATCACAAAAGACCTAGAATAGCCAAAGCTATGCTAAGCAAAAAGAACACAACTGGAGGAATCACATTACCTCACTTCAAAGTATACAGTAGAGCTATAGTAACCTAAATGGCATGGTCCTGGCATAAAAACAGACACACAGATCAGAAGAACAGAAGAGAGAACACAGAAATAAATTCACACATCTAGAATAGACTCATTTTTGACAAAGGTGCCAAGAACATACATTATGGAAAGGAAAGTCTCTTCAATAAATGTTGCTGGTAAAACTGGATATTCATTTGCATAAGAAAGAAACTAGACCCCTATCTCTCACCATACAAAAATCAAATAAAAATAAATTAAAGACTTAAATCTAAGATCTAAAACTGAAACTACTAAGAGAAACCTTGGAGAAATTCTCCAGCCATTGGAATGGGCAAAAATTTATTGAGTAATACCCACAAGCAAAGGCAACCAAAGCAAAAGGGGATAAATGGGATCACATCTAACTAAAAACCTTCAGCACAGCAAAGGAAACCAAAAAATGGTGAAGAGACAACCCACAGAATGTAAGAAAATATTTGCAAACTATGTATCTGATAAGGGATTAATAATCAGAATATATAAGGATCTCAACTTTATAGGAAAAAAAATCTAATAATCTGATTTAAAAACAGACAAAAGATCTGAATAGATATTTCTCAAGAAAAGAAAACATACAAATGGCAAACAGGCATATGAAAAGTTACTCAATATCGTTGGTCATCAGGAAAATGCAAATCAAAGCTACAAAGATTTATCATCTCAGTTCAGTTAAAATGGCTTTTATCTAAAAAACAGGAAATAACAAATACTGGTGAGGATATGGAGAAAAGAGAACCCTCATACAGTATTGGTGGGAATGTAAACTAGTACAACCACTATGGAGAACAGTTTGGAAGTTCCTCAGAAAACTAAAAATGGAGCTAAAAATAGAGCTACCATGTGATCCAGCAATCTCACAGCTAGGTATGTATCCCATAGAAATCAGTATATAGGAGAGAGATCTGCACTCCTGTGTTTATTGCAGCACCTTTCACTATAGTCAATATTTGGAAGCAACCTAAGTGTCCATCAGCAGATAAATGGATAACAAAAATGTGGTACGCATACACAATACAGTACTATTCAGCCATAAAAGAGAATGAGATCCTGTCATTTGCAACAACATGGATGGAACTGGAGGACATTAAGTTAGTGAAATAAGCCAGGCACAGAAAGACAAACTTTTCATATTCTCACTCATTTGTGAAAACTAAAAATTAAAACAAATGAACTCATGGGGATATAGTTAGAATTATAGTTACTAGAGGCTGGAAAGCGTAGTGGGAATGATTATGAGTACAAAAATAGAATGAATAAAATTTAGTATTTGATAGCACAACAGGGTACCTATAATTGACAATAATTTATTATGTATTAAAAATAACTAAAAGTATAATTGGATTGTTTATATCACAAAGAGAGAATTAATTCTTGAGGTCATGAATGCCCCATTTACCCTGATGTTATTATTACACATTGTATGCTTGTATCAACATATCTCATATAACCCATAAATATGTACACCTACATACCCACAAAAATTAAAATCTAAAAAAATTATATACTAATTGTGATGAGAATATTCAAAATCTACTCTCTTAGCTTACAATTGTATTTCAATATTCTCATCACACACCCACCCACACACACACACACACACACACATAAGAAGGTAACTATGTGAGGTGATGGTTATGTTAATTAGCATGATTGTGGTAATTATTTCATAATGTATACATATATTAAAACATCACATTGTACACTTTAAACATATACAATTTTTCTTAATTAAACCCCACTAAAGCGAAAAAAGATGACGATGTTGACGACAATATATTGTTCTTCTGTATATACAGCAGAATTTTAGAATGTGTATCTTTCCTTTTTTTATTCCTTTCAATTTAAAGGCAGTAGTTCAATTTTTGATAGATCAGCTGTCCTTAGAAGAGTGAATTGTCAGGACTTTGTTAAGATCCAAATCCACTCAACTTATCTAAATCTCCTCAAACACAAGTAGCCTTAGGAAAACCTAAAGTTTGAGCTAATTGGGTTGTATTGTATATAAGAAATTCAGATGAGATATTGAAAACAAGATTTTAGAGTTTACAGAGGATACTAAAACTAGAGGCTGAGCAAATAATGAGGAACAAAACAATCAGACTCAAAAGGATTTGGATTGTATAAGTAATTGGATCAGCAGATGGCAAATGCAGTTCAGTACAGGAAAGTGTAAAATAGACTTGAAGCGAAAGAAACAAACTAGAGAATATGTGCTAAATGAAATAATCATCCAGAATGCTGACCAGGAAATGGAAAGGAGGGGCTATTATAAAACATAAATCATAGCAACTCCTAGCTTATGGCTAATTCTGTTGTTTTCGAATCCTAACCAAAAAAAATGTGCACACATATCATCTATACTGGGAACTCACTGTTCCCTATGGGAACTAGCAGTTGCTTCAAATTGCAATCATTTCACCACTCAGTTTTGTACAGATACCTTTCAAAAATTTTTTAAGGTGTTACTTTTTTGAGTGCAGATTTTTCTCCTCTTTGTTTAAGCTTATGCTCATTATTATATAATTACCCTTTTCAGACATTGCTGGGAAAATTCAGAACAATGTTTTCAGGATATTTTACTAATTACCCTATATTTCACCTTGTCAGACAATCCCCAAGAGGATCCACACAAGGCTATCACTCCCCATTTGTCCTATTCTCTGAAGATACAGTATACATTTTGCAAGGGTGGGAGATCAACTGTTTGGTGAGGCAAAATTATAGGCAGTGGATTAAAAGTGTGTGTGTGTGTGTGTGTGTGTGTGTGTGTGTGCGCGCACGCGCACGCGCTTAAGAATTACCTGGGCAGTTACTTTTAAGATGGAATTACTTAGATGCCTTCTCCAGAGATTGACACAGTACAACTGAGAAGGGGCCTCACAAGTAGCATCCTTAATAAGAACCCTTGGTGATTCTGATGTAGGCCATATTTGGGAGACATTTTGAAAAATACCAAGTAGCTAGCAAGAAAAAAGCAGAAAGAACACCAAGTCCTAGTCCCTGCTCATCTAACTGGCTGATTAATTTGTTAACAGTCACACCACTCAGGCCTCATGTTCTTCATCTGGAAAATGAGTTCAGTATCTGTCCATCATACCTGACGGAGGAGCAAATGAAATATCATCTAGAATCTTCTTGCATACAAATATAAACGAAGGTAAAATGCTTGCCAAAATGTAACATGTGCTATTCTGATCCCACAATAAAATGCTTTTAAGTGGATGATTGAGGCAGCCACCTACACCCAGCCGGAGTCAGATTTTCCTTTTCATCTATTGCCACAGGAATTCTCACCCATAGTTGATCTCTGCAACCAAATAGGTACTGAAAGTAGTAGGTGTTTTCCTTTGTGTATTTTAAAAAAGTGCTAAGAGAAGGTCACTAACTGTGTCCCCATGGTTTTGTTACTCTCAGGGAGCAACGTTTTGAATAGCAGTCTTCAGTGTTTAGATCCAGTTGCATACCTATGGTCACCGATACTCAACTCCAGCTTTTGTTGTTGAGAATGAAAATGACTTCCACTGGCCTGACAAGCACATAATAATCACCCTTTCATCACCTACTACTGAGGTCTCTTTCTCATCTGCAGAAAGTAAAACTGAAGTCTGTTTACAAATCATAACTGAGCCCATTGAGGAAAATATCCTGTGAAATCAATTGATCGTGAGGATATGTGAAAATTTCCATAGTTTGCCTCTTATTGAAATTCTGTATTAGCCAGGCAGTCTTATCTGGAGTGTGACAGTTCGTTCAATTAAAGAATAGTAAGTCCAAAAATGATGAGAGTCAACTAAACAGAGGCATCCAGACATTGTGCTCTGGGCTGAGATTTATTATAAACATGGGAAGAGTATATGCACTGCGCAGCTTTTTTAGCACTGATCTTAGTCCATAAGCTTCTCTTTGGAACAGTCTGTGAACATGGCTACCATGTAATTAGCTAAGCAATAAGTTAGGTGTTTAAAAATATTTTTTCAGGTGCTTTTTTGTATTCATGATAGATTCTCAACACTAAAAATCAATCTCAATCAAAGCGGCAACTGAGTTTATCATAAATTATCATGAAAAGGTTTTCTACTGAGTAGATGGTTAATTACTATCTAATTTGAATAATTTTGCATATTAATGAGGAATGAATGAAAATCATTTTTAGATTTTTAACTTCAGCCGAGAAACCCATGGAGATAATGGCTCCTTTTTAAGAGGCATGTGATCTCTGTTACCAAAGAAGATACTTTTTAAAAAAAATTTACTGACTTAAGTTGATTAATGGATTAGTGTTTTGCCATTAATAAACTATATCCAAATGAAAGACAACTTCATTATTTGACTCCGTAGCCCCTAGCTGCCTGCCAGGTAAGAAAAATGGAAAATAGATGAAGAATGTGCTAAGGAAAAATATAACCTTGCTCAGTCCTTCAAAATTTCTGTATACAGACATTTGTATGTTACTGATTGTGAATGAAATTTTTATAACCTGTATGTTTTTGTCACATGAAGTTCTATGTATACTTATTTACACATGATATTTAGATTTATAATGTACATATTGAGCTGGAAATAAGGGTATACTCTTAAAACTACTACTGTATTCTCCAATTTGAAAAAGTGACTGACAATTGCCTTAGGACTCAGAAATTATTGCCAGCCAGAAATCGAAAGTCACTTTTATAAAGTATCATGAAACCTTTCTTAGCATTGCAAACAAAGAATAACACTTTTTATACTTTTTAAGAGAAATATTATTTATATTTCTTATAAAATATTATAAAATAAATTTCCATTTAGGAAAAATAAGGAACAAACTACTTATCTCCCTCCAGTTTTCTTTTACCTTTATCTTTTATTTCATACTCAAAACTTCCCTATTTGATACTTACTTTTAGGCTATCTTTTTTTCCCTCTTTGGGCAGAGTCTGTCATTATCCAATGATTCCATGCATTCAGTGGACTCTATACAGGATTTATTGCAGACTAATGCAGAACAGTCTTGATGAATTAAATTGGACAAGTATTTTTATACTCTGCAAACCAAAACCTTTAACCAAGATGGGCAATAGAACAAGATATTAATTCTTACAGCCCACATTCAACTTTTAAAATTGAGTATTTTAGTCATGCCAATACTAGACCAGACCAACATTGAGTTTAAAAATCTTCAGATATATAGAAATGTTCTTAAGATAAGCATTAATTAGCATTGTATTTTACCAAGAAGGATCAGGATTAGATTGGATTCACAGAATTTCAATTGAGCATGTAGATTTCAGAGCATGATTATAGAGTTCAATAGATGCCTTTGGATTACTTAACTCAACAGAAGAGTAAAAAGTAGAAATGAGTTTTCTTTCTGGGTCTAGAGAACATATCTTTTATATTACTAAAAACTCCAACAACAGAAGCTCAATAATATCTGAAAAAGGAACTGCTTAGATGGGTGCTTTCACAATCAGTCCCAGACTTATCCTACTCACTATTCATTTACCATCATGGTCAGTACCTTCCTGGCCAGAAAGTGAAGAAGATTTTACCAATATAAGGGTGATAGACTCTAAAAGTGGCATTGACAATACATCTGAAGAAAAGTCTGGAAAAGAGGCAAGCCATTTTAAAAAGAACTAAAAACCTTGATGTTTCCAATTGAGCCATATGCCAGGGTAACTCTCAGGATAAGAAATGAACTATATTTTATATGCACAAAGTAGGATTTTTCAAAAAAAAAATGAAATGAAAAGTGGCATTAGCATGAGCTGTCCACTCCCCCTCTCCTCCTTCTGGTCTCTTCCAGTCTCTTTTGCCAAAGAACTGAGAATGAATTTTTGAGAGCCAAGGATATGGAAAGGAAGACAAAATAAAGCTGGGAGAATTTTGGCGGAATTACATGCTTAACATACTGCACCATTTCTTTAATATATTTAAATAGTCCTGTGTCATCAGTTGGTGGCTTTTCTTTTCAACAATTTGCAATATATTTTGTTTTTCCCTAATTAAACTTCACATGCTGGAATTAATTACTGCTGGGTAGTTGAAATCTGGTGGTCTAATTTTCAACTTTAGTTAATGAAGCTCAAAGTCTACATTCACCTCTGAAATGATCAACCTTACCAAATTATATTTGTCCACATATATCTTCTAGATAATGAATATACAGGGCAGCTGCCAATTGTGATGGTTAAATAACAAAATTATTTTTCATGTGTGACTTGTGAATCCTTCTCTCTCTTTATATAAAAACAACTTTATCATATGAAAGATCTTTATATTATAGGGATTGCATGTAAAACACACAGGTTGCACATGTGCCCCAAAAGTATTCAAATCTTAACCATTAAAGTGAAGCTACATCAAGATTTCGTTTGTAAAAAAAAAAAGTGAAAATTTTCTATGTCCTAAGCAGTTCAGTATGCTACCCTGGAAAAGTTTAAAAATGTCTAGGTACCATTACCCCAAACTAAATATTTTAAAGACTCTAAAAACTTTCATCATAAATTGGTTGAAAGCAGGAAACCAGTTGAAATTCTAGAGTCTACATCTAGATCTAGTATGCCTAATTTTAGATAATAAAATACACATATACAATAAACTGCTGTCACATGCATAATGAGGTATATTAGCAGGCATTATCATCTTTATTTTGCAGATGAATATATTAGGGCTCAGAGATATTGAGATCTCAAGTTACCCTATGAAAGACTGGTCTTCAGTTTGGGTCATCTGAATTTATAGCCTGACCTCCTTTTATTTATACCACAAGCACCCATTATAAAAGCAGAAAAGGAAGAACTGGAGGCAAGGGAGTAAAGGCTGATCAAGTGAGAGAGTCAGTGGGACTAGTGCTAATTTCTTTACCTTTCTCTTTTCTCTACACGTTGTTTCTTGTATTTCAGCAAATTATCTTCCAGGTTGTTGGTATTCTTTCTCCAAAGCCATCTAGATACATGGATTCTTAATCAGCATTAAGGCATAAATGACTTCCTAACTAAATTTTAGCAAATTTTAGGGGATAATATCTGTATCCCTAATTAGGACCTAACGATTCATCAGCTAGTAATCTAGAGATTGTACATTTGAAAATTTACATTGTGTATACTTGTTTCATGTACTACTCACTTATTTAGGCTTCTAAAATAGTACTTTACATACACTAGTTTATTTGATTCTCACAACAGCTTTAAGAAGCAGATACTACTATGATCCTTATTCTACAAATGAGAAAACAGAAGGTAGAAGAACTTAAGTGACTTTCCAAAGAGTTGAAGCTGGAATTTGAAATTACATCTGTCCAATTTCAGAGCCAGTCACTCCACACTTCTGCAAATGGCTTTTCTCTACTCTGACTTAGTAAAACACATGGTCTAAGCTTTCTTATTTATGAGCTGCATCACTTTGGGCAAGATAGTTAATTAGCTAAGCATTAGTTTCCTCCTCATTTGTTAAATAGGGCTAGTGATTACAAAGAGATTTTTTAAAATTAAAAATATTGACAACCAATATCATACAAGAAAAAAATTACAGTGCCATTATTATTATTATTATCATTGGATAGTAATGATATCCAATGGAGGGTGGGTTGATATAGTGAATATTCAAAACTTATAGGCTAACCTGACGTTAAATGCAGTTGTTTATAGTTCAACCATAGTTGGCCATGGTTCTTTAGGAGGTAGTCTTTTTTTTTTTTTTTTTTCCCTGAGACAGAGTTTTGCTCTTGTTGCCAGGCTGGAGTGCAATGGCACGATCTCAGCTCACTGCAACCTCAGCCTCCCAGGTTCAAGCGATTCTCCTGCCTCAGCCTCCTGAGTAGCTGGGATTACAGGCGTGTGCCACTATGCTCGGCTAATTTTGTATTTTTAGTAGAGATGGGGTTTCTCCATGTTGGTCAGGCTGGTCTCGAACTCCTGATGTCAGGTGATCTGCCTTCCTTGACCTCCCAAAGTGCTGGGATTACAGGTGTAAGTCACCATGCCCACCCTTGGGGAGTATTCTTAAGATTGAAACATTTCGTGGAAGACAATTCCACGAAATTGGCATGGGGAGTGGTGGTTTCGGGATGAAACTGTTTCACCTCATCAGGCATTAGATTCTCATTAGGAGCGTGCAGCTTAGATCCCACATATGCACAGTTCACAGCTGGGTTCGTGGTCCTATGACAATCTAATGTCTCCGCTGAGCTGACTGGAGGTGGAGCTGAGGCTGTAATACTGGCTTGCCCACCACTCACTTCTTGCTGTGTTTCCTGGTTCCTAACAGACCACAAACCGGTACTGGTCCGCAGCCCAGCGCGTTGGAGACCCCTCATGTCTCCAACTCAGCTTGAGCCTCTCATGACAAATACAGCTTGAGCCTCTCATGACAAGTGAGATGAGAGGCTCAACAGCTTGAGCCTCTCGTGACAAATACAGCTTATCACAGATAACTGTTTATAGGAAAGTGTCAGTTAGAAACTGGAATTTCCTCTTGTTCATCAAGATTTCTAGTCATCATTGTTCCATCTTCTGCTTTGGTAGGGGAGTGGAGTTGGGTACAGTGGAAATCTTTTAGCTGCATTTTTCCCCATATTATTTTACCATCCTAGGCAGCACACGTGTATCTAATTCTTGTCTCTTTGTTTTTTAAATCCATTCACCTGATTTCTTTAAATATGTGATGGTAGAACATGATGATAAAACTTGCCACTTTAAAGTCAAATCTCATTATATAATTTTGGGCCTGATCTTCAAAAATAAAATAATAAAATAATTACTTAATAGTTGTTAGGTTATAAATGCTTTCATGTTTGCAAAATGTTTTTAGATTTCTGTAGAATCATGTGTAGTTCATTATGGTAAAGTTTTGTGATAACCAGGACTCACATTAATGTCTTTTGCTTAGTTTTTAATACATTTTCAACTAGAACATGTATTTAGTCTTTTTGGTTTTGAGGTAACTATTCCTATTCAGAGATAGAACTTTTAAAGAACTATGATTTTATTTTGCTATTTCTAATTTTGTCCTTTTTTTGTAAATATATATTATGTACATTTCATTTTACAGTGCAGTTATTTAATATAAATACATCTGTAAATTGTATTTTTTGTGTGAGGATCTTGAAATCAAAATAATCAACGGTAAACATCAAAACTACAGCTGCAGCTTTAAATATTTTATAATCCAATCAGATTGTTTGAGTAGTAATGTATTTAAATGTTGTTATGGAATCCCCTCTAGACTTTTTAAAATGGTTACTCTGTTCCTGGGTTTGCTATTTATGAAATTCATAAAGGATGACATTTTTTAATAATAGAGAATTCGACTTAGAGAACAATGTTTATTTTTATGTCTCAATAAAATCTAAAATTTTTTGCCTTAACTTTCAGAGGGAAGCAACCACAAATCATTCTTTTATTAGTGACTGTATGTACATCTGTTGTTGCTGCTGTAATTAGAGTGACCTTAAATGAGAAGTCTTACCTGAGTTGTTTAATTTCTTTTTGGATATTTGGATGAAGAAGTTTTACCTAAGGAGATAAAGCACCAGGATGAAACTAGGTGTGAAGAATACCTTTATAAAAGACTCATAGCAGAGGTCATCTATAATTAAGTATAATGTAATATTTTAGGCCTTACCTAAGCCCTGATGTAGTGTAAATTATTTTAAAATTGTGTATGTTAAAAAAGTGAATCGGGATAGAGTTCTATTATTAGTCCTACAGAGCTGATATTAACTAAGGTTTTACTATGTCCTAGGCTAAAACACTTTATACAATTCATGTAGTCATTTTGTGAGATAATTTCCATTTTTTCTGATGAAGAACCTAAGTAAAAAAAAAAAAAAAGTAAGGTTAAGTGCCACAAATAGTAAACATTGGGATCTTGGCTATCTGACCTCAGAGGCTCATGTTTATTACAAATTAGTACAGATGTATTTAATTGTGCACATATATTTAATGAACTAATGGACAGAGGATCCTAATTTCAGAAGTAAATATTCTTGAACTTTCAAAACATTAATATTCTGTAAAATAAATTTTTTGTTTTAAAAGCTGACATTTTTTCTCTTTAGTGTATTAAGCAATTTTGTGTTTGACTTAAGAATTAGACAAGTAAATTGGCATTATTTTTGTTGGCATTTATATAGGCAAACTAATAACTTGTGGTTACATTTTAACATGATTTATTCAACTAATGCTTTATTAAATACTTACATATAAATATTATTAGGCTCTATTAAAAAGTACTTTAAACTGAAATATGATTTAGAAACAATATTTTTTTAAATGCTATAGTTTGGCATGAAAAAATATCCAATTTGGTATCCTAATATTCTATATGTCTCTGCAGTATTAAAACATGCAAAGAGTAGGTATAATTTGTGAAAATATCCTAATATTGTAATAAACACATATCGAAGAAAAACAATGAAGATCATAGTAAAGTTATAGTGCATCCAAAGCTTTAGAAATATTTGGGTGCAATATAATATGACATATAAGAGCAAAATTTAAAGTCAGGGAGATATCTAGCTAGGCCACCAAACTGCTCTCCTTGTTCAACTTTATTCCTCTGTAATTTCGTTGGCAGATAAATTTCTCCTGAAAATGGAAAAAGGAGATTTAGATACATTGACCCATTCCTATCAAATAAAAAAATTGTTAATAATAATCTTTTGATGAGGAAATATTTGGAAAACTCCTTATTTTTTAGCACTTATTATGTAGGAAGTAATTTATAAAAGCACTTTTATAGACAGTCATTTAACCTTTATGTAATCTCTATAAAATACCTATTACCAACCAGGTGAGTCTTTAAAACTCATGAATTTTCCATGACTTGCCTAATGTAAAATAACTAGAAATAAATTGATAGGGCCAAGACTGAATCCCAGGCCTCACTCTCTAAATCCAGTGTGTTTTGGCCTCTCATGATCTTAGAATGTCCATGTTTCAGTCTGTTCAGGCTGCTATAACAAAAATATCATAGACTGTGTGGTTTAAACAACAAGCATTTGTTTTTTGCAGTCCTGCTGGTGAGAATCCCAAATCCAGGTTCCAGCAGATTCACTGTCCGAGGAGGCCCACTTCCTAGTTCATAGATAGCTGTCTTCTTGCTGTGTCCTCACATGGTGGAAGGAGGGAGGGATCTTTCTGGGATCTTTTTAATAAGAGCACGAATTCCATTCATGAGGGCTTCACCCTCATGTCCCAAAGTCCCCACCTTCTAATACCATCACATTAGGGGTTAGGGTTTTATTATATGAATGTTGGGGGGATACAAATGTTTAGTCCATAACAGCCTATAAGGGTAAATGCTTTCCCTTCCTGTTCTAAGCAATTTGTGTGAGTTAATTCTTTCTTTACTTTGGTTTCCCAGCATACCAGAAGCTATTTGGCTGCCAGAAAATAGTCTTGTAACAAAAGCCATTGCTCTTTAGTCAAATTACAAATATCCAACTAAACCATAAAAAAACTCTTTATACAAAATGTCTTCGTGTCATCAAATATGTCCTCAGGAAATCTTTTCTGATTTCCTCTCTGTTTCTGAGCTGGATTTTGCCTCTGAGCTTATGAACTGCTCTTCTCCCTTATATTTGTGCTCCTCCCTGTTTTGGTTAATTACTTCACTCTATCCTCAAGTTTTAGTCTTTCCTATGAAAAAAAAAATTCTTCCTGAAAACTGGACTTGCTTATCCCTCTGGTGAACTCCAACCCAAACTTTAGGTAGTAATTGAGTGTTTTCATGCAGTAATGTGTCCCTTGGACACTCTTGGGCTCCACCAGCCATGTCATCACTCAAAGTATGAACCCAGATGTCTGAATTATTTAGATAAGACACATGGTTTGTTCATCTGTAGATCTATACCAAAATTGCAGGGTTTTTCCATGCAAAACCTAAACTAGCTCTTTTGTTAATCTCATCCATAATTCTTTACACAGCTGAGAAGTTAGAATCTAACTCAAAATTTGAAACTATTTGCTGTGCATTTATATCCGTTAATACTAGGCATTAATAAAAAGTACCTGCATTGTCTTCTTTTCATTTTGTAATGTGAATCCAGCCCTTTTTATAGGGCCTAGTAAGATTTTGTGTTTTAATGTGCTCCTATATTTAGCAAATATTTACTAAAGGCCTATTATGTGCTAAGCACTCTTCTAGGAGAGCAGGTTATGTCTTATAACTCATTATACTCCCAGTAAATAGCATTAAGTCTTATACATAGTATATCAATTGACAAGCCCTGCTGTTTTGCTAGGTCCTAAAATGTACAACAGTAACATTCCTGATTTTTTTCTTGGAAATCAGATTTCAGTCTGGTTTGGTCTAATTTTCAGATTTCAGTCCATTTGTCGGTAATTAAATGTTCATGGAATCCCCATTATATCCACAAATGTATGTGATTATCACTGTAAACTATCCAGGCTCCATTGATGCACATGAGTTATGCCAATGCCTTCAAGTTTATCTAGTTCTTTTATATGTCATTTTTCCTCTTTCCGGTACTTACCTCTTTGAATGAACCAGAGCAACCTTAAGAGAGGAAAACAAAAGTGCAAGTCCACTTAATAGTTACAAAGTAGATTCCCTTTGTGGGGCCAAGCAACTCCTGACAATGGATGTGGGTTAGTCAGAGCTGGTTTCTGTGGCCATCAGAATGCATCAACACTGTCTGTGTTGTCTATATTGTGGGATTTCTCAAGGCTTTCAAATGCCAATATTAACTGTGACTCCCCAAAAAAGATGTAGTGTTTCCCAAATGTATTTAACCATGGAACTTAATTCTTTTGTTTTCTTTTGTTAGAGCGTTTCATTTTGTTAGAGCGTTTCATTTTGTTAGAGCATGTCTCAGAACAAGTCTCTAGGGACATATATAGCTTGGGAAACTCTGAAACAGAGTCACAAAAAGCATAATGTTTATAATCTAGAATATCTCTGAGGATCTTAATCCAAACTACGTTGCTAATATTCTCATGAAGTAATTGCTGAGAGTAATAAGATGTAATTATTTTCATGTTTTGCTGATGAGGAAACTGAGATGTAGAAAATTCAAGCAGATTTCCCATGGTTGCTCTGTTGAAAAATGTAAAAAAAAAAAAAAAAAAAAAAAAGAAAAGAAAAAACCAAAAAGCCTTAGAGAACTCCAGTCTATCTGACCCAATCTTAAAATAATTCCCCCATGCTGCCTATTGCTCACTGGTTCTAACTGGGCATTTGGGCCTGGTCTGCACCCTCTCTGTTCCTGGGCCATAGCGACTTAAAACCAAATCTCTGAGTTTTAATCTCAACATTGGGTAATCCTTGAGGTGTAAGAGGATGACACCTATTGAGAGCTTTTCTAAGGGATTAATTCACAGTATTTCACCCTTTTCTGTAGTATTGACTTTGGAACTTACGTTGTGGGGGCGGTGGCGGTCAACCATCACCACTACCATAACCACCAGTTGTTATTAAGCAGTAAGTATGTGTTGGGTTGGGTAACAAACATTTGAAAACATATACTTTATCTCATTTAATATTTCCCCCAGTCCTATAAGGTTGGCAACATTATAAAGAAACACATTCAGATAAACAAATGATCAAAAGTCAAATATTTAGTAAACAGAGAGTCCAAGGATTAAATCCAGATCTGATTGATGGCAGATATTACAGGCTTTTCATGATCCATTTTGTCTTCAAAATCTACAGAGATAAACCCTGTATAAATTTCTCCCGGGGTCATGAAGAGACTGGGGTATGAAAGTGCCACACATTTCCTGTCTCCACAATTTTACTTGTTTTCAAAACTGAGCGTTGTGTTTTATTGTCATAATCCAGGGGAGAGTACAATAGGGGAGTCAGCATCTTAGCCATTCTGATAGAATGCACCTTGACTTTGTCGAACTCCAGAGCTGACCTTCCTAGTACTGAAAATCTGCATGGAGAAAGGGATTTATCTGGAGCTGTTACAGCTCTGGCATTTAGGCAGCCCTGTAGGAATAGCTAGCTATGTGTTTTGTAGAAAATAGATCAACGATGGGGCCCCCATGGGAATTTTATTTTTCCTCTATCCTCATTCATGGTTTTAAGTAGTATGGGTTTATTTTACCTATCAGGCTAATTACAAATGATTTACCATTTTAATCTGGAATAAAAGATTTTATTTTTTATAAATTGACTATGTGGATGAAACATTTTTCTTCTTGTTCCTAAAATACCTGTTATTATGGCTTATAGGATCAATAATTTTTACATTTTACAAAGCTTCTAAGAATATCTGAGCATGGAAAATGGCAAGCAAAGGATAGAGGTTCAAATGAAACTGTTCAGCAGGTCAATAATTTAACACTTTCAGAAAGTATGCAATATCAATTCTTTCACAGATCTCTAAGACAGATTTCTTCATTAAAAATCTATTAAGAGTTAGAAGGAATTTATTAAACAAATTATTAATATTTCAGGGCATTGCTAAATAGCAAATTAAAGCAAAGTGAAAATAGCATAAGAAAAATATATTTCATGATTAAAAATGAATTTCTACTTGACAGAGAGTTTTACCAAAGGATAATTTTTCTCAAATATTTCAGTTTGGAATTTTAATCTTTGTTTGCTTGTTTTTGCATCCTGAACTACCTAGTAGTCTGTGGTTTTATCCAGTACTATATTGGGTCATATGTTTTCTCCTTTTGAGAACCAAAAAAATAAAAATAAAAATAAACCACACTAACACATACACTCAGGCTGAATATTTCTCCTGGATCTTTTTCTTTACAAGTGCAAATCATCACATATTATAGTGAAAGAGTGCAGTACTTAATCCTCATAGTGATGCTATGACCCCAGTGATCTTCAGTTTACTCTTGGTTTTTCAGTTTGTAATAATAGGTGGGTGGTTTATATTAGTAACTAATAAAATGCTTCCTAAAATATTGGACAGGTGATAGCTTTAAGGTTATGAAATTTTTACATTATACGAAGTCAAATGAGTTCAGTCATGTTAGAAGGTAAACTGAGGCATAATAAAATATTAGAGAGCTTATTTGAGCAAACACTCACTCAAGAATCAGGAAGTTCCAAATCAAAAGCAGTCCATGAGCTCCACTGAGGGAATGCAATGGGGAGGCTTTTACAGAACAGACACAGAAATAAAGCAAACACAATATTTGATTGGTTATAGTTATACAGTTGCCTTATTTGGTATATCCTATCGGAAAGACCCTAATTATATTAATAATTTTCTAAGTTTTTGGCTACTTTTGATTGGTTGAGCTTAAGTTTTGTTTTCTTTCTAATATAGGCATTTACAAGAAATCACCCCAAGTTAAGTTTCACTTCTGTTTGTAAGCCCAGCAACCCTTAGGTCACTAATGAGGTCTACTCATTTTAGCTGCTCAGGGATTCTTCAGGCCTGGTCTTCATTTTAATTTAACAGGTAACAAACTTCAAGATATGGCCTGATCAAAAACTACTTTGAAAAACTATTCTTCAAATCTGGTCAAATATTTGGTTCAATTAACTAAAAACCTATCACACACAGTTTAGAAAACACTTAGTAATTAGTAAAATATGGTAGTGTGAATGCCTCTAAAAGATTTATTAAGAGCCAATCATTTAAATTCAGACATTTTGGAGATTGGTTATACATTCAGAAATAATGGAGCTTGAGTTTTTTTTTTAATGTTTTCATCCATTTGTGTATGCATGCATACACTTATCAAATATTTCTTGATTTTATTTTATGTTAAAACACTGCAAAATTCTTAGACAGACACAGACAAAATTGGGACTATCCTTAAAAGATTTATAGGTAAGTCCAGAGCATAAGTAGTCACAGCTGCCAATTTCTGAATTTTGTCAGCTGTGTAATTACAATACACCATAGAAAATAATGGATGGCAAAAGCTGTGCAAATTTTAAGAAGCAAAGCGACATCTTTAAATCACATGTGATGTGTGGTCATCCTAATGAAAACTAGAAGAATCAATCCATGATGAAACCATATACAATGTACAACTTTGTACTCTGTTCCTCTAAGTTGTTTAACTCCTGACTATGCTTTTTGGTTTCTGATTTTGGATTCTTCCTTAGATTTGCCTTCCAGAAGTTCCTTGAAAATCTCTTGATCCCCTCTTGTGAATCCTTTTGGCCTTCGTTCTCATATTCTCATAAACAGTCCAGCAGTTACCCACTGCTAGACTGTTTCTTAGAGCCTGTATTGATGAAACGAACTTCTGTACTTGGATTATCATGTTCTGACTTTGTTAGATCATCCTTGGCCTTGACTCCCTGTCACACCAGGCATAGCACAGAAAAAGAAATACAGACATTCTCCAGGAGATGGAGAGATTATATTTACCTGAGTGTAACAAGGAAGGCTTATTGGAAGAAGAGAGATTTGACTTGGCTCTTAAAGGATGAGAAGAATATGGATAGAGTCAGTGAGAAGCATATTGTAGGATGAAGGAAATAGCGTATCTTCCCCATGAGGACAATCAGAGAAGCAGGATTCTGGATGGAAGTTGTGAACTGAAGCATGTGAATAGCCAGGGTTGGAGGGAGTTTAGGATGTTTGAAGTGGTTGTAGTTGTTCTGTTTGGAAATGCTAGTTGTTTATTTGAGCTGAGGGGAGATTACGACAAAAAGCTTTTTGAAAACAATGAATCTGGCAGAGCATAGGGTGAGTTGGAGTTGAGAGATAGAAGACTATTGTGACAGTCATTGGAGATGTTCCAACATAGGCTAGTGACAACTTTGCAAATGTTCAGGGAGAATGAAGCATTAAACATGGAGTAGATGAAATTTTAAAGCCCTTCCAGCCATAAGTTACAGACGTAGAATAGAATACTAGGCTATGAAGTCACATTGTCTAATTTGCATGCTGGTTCCACCACTACTGACTATGACCTTGGGTGAATTACTTAGTTCTAAAAGTCCTCAGCTGGGCATGGTGGCTCACGCCTGTAATCCCAGCACTTTGGAAGGCAAAGGCGGGAGGATCACGATGTCAGGAGTTCAAGACCAGCCTGGTCAACACAGTGAAATCCCGTCTCTACTAAAAATACAAAAGAAAAAGTTAGCCACACGTAGTGGCGGGCACGTGTAGTCCCAGCTACTTGGGAGACTGAGGCAAGAGAATCGCTTGAACCCGGGAGGTGGAGGTTGCAGTGAACCGAAATCGTGCCACTGCACTCCAGCCTGGGTGACACAGCAAGACTCTGTCTCAAAAAAAAGAAAAAAAAAAAAAGGTCCTCCATGGCTGCTTTTCTCTTCTGTAAAACAGGAATAATTTTAGAATTTATTTCATCATATTTGTGTGAGTTTAAACAGTGTACATATGTGAAGCCCTTAGCATAAGACATCACACAGATAAGACCTCAACACATGTTTGCCTACACTGTGCAATTTCTAGACTTTGAGGTTTTAAACTGTGTTAATACAAAGGGGAGAAAATGGGCTAGGTAGAAAAAATAGTGCTGAGGTAGAATTCACAGGATTTGTAACTCATTAAATGCAGATCAAAGTGGGACAGAGGACCAGGAGAAATTAACAGAAACTCAACACTGTAAGAAAGAGTGCATAACTATGACAATTATATTCCTTCTTTTCTAATCGTCATAGTTAAGCACTCTTACTTACAATGTTGAGGCCCCACCCCCATAATATTTTCCTTTTCTAATTGACATAGTTAAAACATATAACTTAACTTAATGAATTCAGAATAAATTTTTGTGAACAGAATTGTTTATAAATTGTCTGCTTCTATTTTGAGAAAAAAATAAGGCATTTGACTTTTTCCCATCTGAGGAACAAATCTTAGACAAAAGTGATCTTCCCCACATTCCTATGGACACTGAACAAGCATTCAGTACTTAGTGCAACAGCATAGACTAGTGGTAGGAAGGAAGATTGTAACGAGGAGGCCCAGACACTACTTTTTATCTTATCCAGGGCACATTTTAGTTTTAAGCTACACTGACAACAAAATTATCTATAGCTGTAGCAACAGACTATTTGACAAAATAAAACTGGTTTAAGGTAATTTTAAGTACCTTCTGGCTTGTTTACTAATTACTAGAATCTTTGAGAAGTACTTATTTCTTTCTCTTTTGACTGCTATAAGGAATAATCACATACTCAAATATTTTTTTAAAAGTATTTCCTTTCCTTCAGTTGAAGACTTCAGCTATTTTAAATAAATTATGTATCAAAAATATTAGTTTAATTTGTATCGTGGGGGATAATGGTATTAATTTTCCTGCATCAATTTTTTTTTTTTTTTTTTTAATCCAGATAGGTGCTACGGTCAATTAACCAACACTTACGTACGCTAAGGACACTATAGAGGCAAACAAAATTAATTAAGAATCAGATCCTGAATTTAGAATCGTATAATCAAACATGTATACAACTTATACAATATGGAAAAAAATGCTATGTTACCAATATGGACCAAAGAATAAATGCTGTATTACCAATATGGACAAAATAAATAAATGCTATATTACCAATTTAAAGAGCCATGGAAGCAGAGAGGATAGAGGGATTAAACTCCTTTGAGAAAAAAAAGTCCTTGCAGGATTTGGTACTTAAGATATTGCCCAACACAGAGCGGACATTCAGTAAACATTTGCTTAATAAATGAATGACCTATAAATGATCTCCCAAATCTTTGGGGTTATAAACATAACTGTTGTTTTATTACTTCTCATGGATTCCTGTGGGTTGGAATTTGGGAATGGTCTGAGCTGAGTGGTCTCTCATAGAGTTGTGGCCAGGTGTTTGCTACAGCTAGTGCTAGCTGAAGGATGGGAGGTCAAAGCAGTTGGGGGCTGCCATCATCTCTCACTCTTTGTGTAGCCTCATGGTCTCTCCAGGCAGCAGCTTCTTTCGGCTGGGTTTAGTCTGCCTTACAGCATGGTGGCCTCAGTGCAGTCAGACTTCTTGCAAGCTTTCAGGAACAAGTATTTTAGCCAACAAAGCAGAAGCTTCATGGCCATTAATGACCCAGACACAAAAGTCAATAGCATCACTTCTGCCATACACTGTTAGTCAAAATAGGCACAAAGCCAGCCCATTTTTAAGGTAGGAGACATAGACCATTTCTTGATGGGAATAGTGTCCAAGTCACATTTAAGAAGGGTATGTGGGAGGGAGGTATTGTTGTGGCTGTCTGTGGAAAACAGAATCAGCAGAGTGATTTCAATGTCCATTTTTAAGCCATGTAATTTGTGTTTCTTACACCTTTTTGTCTTTTTTTTTAACAGAATATGTCATAAAATTCTAACAAAAATTTGGAAGTGGGTTTGGAATCATAAGTCAGAATAGATTATTTATGAACTCTCCAATTTCTATGCAGTTTTGTGTAGTGTTTCTTTTAAATTTCTAGTTTTTTTTTTTTAATATCTAAAGTCCTGATTTAGCCTGTGTTTATGTGATTGTGTGCTAAACACCTGCAAATAAAACAACCTGTGTAATTAGGTCACTACCATGACAAAAAAAAAAACTATCAAATTTACTGTTTGGCATGACATAACAAGAAAAACAACAAACCAGAGAAACAAACCGAAACAAAGAAAAACAAACACCCATACACAATACCCCAAAACAAATCAAGACAAACACTTATCTCATGTGTAATTTACTTAACTCTTCATTTGTCAACATGTTTCTTTGATATGGCATATAAGACAAAATCTTATTTGACAAGTAATATGTCTCAGATTTTATTTTAGCAAAAATTTTTCATTAGAGTTACAACTCAATGGATTGTGTTTTACTTTGCATGCAAATAATGTCTTAATTCCAAGAGCTTTGTGACATACAGAAAAATATTTCAGGCCAATATGATACCAGTTGGTGCACCAGGCAGAGTAAGATAATTTATCACCTCTGTTTCACTTTGGATATACCTATACCAAGAGAGAGTAGAAACATCAAAAAGCCAAGTACTAGAAACTAGTCTAATGACTAAAAGCATAGTGGTAATTGTCTTTTGTCCAGGTCATCATAGAAGTCATTCAATGGAAAATGTGAAATAACAGATGTTTCAGCAATGTCCCCTGATTTCTGGATTTTGCAGCTCACAAAGGGAAACGTCAAATACTACATG